TCTCTCTCTCTCTCTCTCTCTCTCTCGTAAAAATATTTGTTTTGTGTAAACAATGAAATATATTAACAAAATAATTTTAATCTCTAATTAATAAACTAAAAAGTATTGGCAAAACTTGCAATGATTTGGAAGAAAATAGAAAATAAATCAGACAATTGTTTTAACAAAATAACGATTAAATAATTACAAAACTATTTATGAATTTCTACTTTTTATCGCCAAAACCCTTCAGTCGAGTGGTTCTCGAAGTTACAAATGACTGATAAATAATATGTTTTATAAATAAAAAATATCATATTGTTTGAAGTTTTTAACACGTTTTCAAATAAAAAACTACTTATTAACCAATAGTTAGTTTCCAAGTTTTGTCGGTGTAAAATTCAGCAATGTCCTATAGGTATTGCATGAGATAGTTGCAATTAAATTCTTATAATGAAACTTTTAGACCTTAATGAAAAAATGTCATACAAAGCACTGTACTCTTTATCGCCATTTAATGTTTTATTATACTTTAATGTTGTAATAGTGTTGACAAAGTTAACAATACTTTGGGCATAAAGTAATCTAAATTTTTTAAACAAATTACTTTGTTATAAATATTACAAGTCATTCACTATACATAGATCCCAACTGTTAGAAAAGTTGGATCTACCATGGTGATGGATGTAGTATTGTACAGTAAAACAAAGTGTATAACTAGTGCATTTACTGTACAAACTTATAAATTGTTAGCTAAAGTTTTAGTTATATAATAAAATTATGGGTAAGTTTAGTGATATTTTGCAAAAATATTTTGACAATACAAATTGTAAATTAAATTATTTAAATGAGTTTATAGTATTAATTCAAACATAATGTTAGATTATTTTAAAATAATAAAACAACATCCTATGTTATAAGTTTAATAAGGGTTAATAATGATATATAAATATACCCGATAGTTATTTAATAAACACATACAAATATTTTAGTAGCTACTTTATTAATACAAATAGGATTAAAATACAAGTATCACGATTATTTTTAAAAATTATTTTGAATTAAATAAACAATAATTTAAATCATAATTGATCACTTACTTAAAAGTATTTATAATAAATTATTTATTTAATAATACTTTTATATTTCTGTACATTTAAGTCCAAAACACTTCAATTAATATCCATATAATTTAGTTGTGTATTGTCTGTATATTTACATATTTGTTTAATTATTATATTTCAATTTATAAATAGTTCTAGTGCTTTATTTATTAAATACAAGTAAAATACAAAATCAAAAATAAAAGTTGTAGTTTATGTAAACATTTAAAAAATAATAAATGCAAAAGTTTAAGCTCATAGATCAATAGTGTACTCATCCTAATCATAAAGGTTGAGTGTTTTTATTAATTTATGACCAAGCACATGTTGACCATGCATACCCTATTGCTTTTGAAAGTTACATGTTTTAGAATTATTGTATTTGAGCATAAAATGTATACAAAGTGTGTTTCATTTGGGATTAACACATGGATTAGGGATTAAAATGGCAAATACATTGAAATTGAGCGCATGTATCAAATGTGTGGCACCAATCATATGTAAAAATTATGGTCAACTTATCAGCAAATAATTTCTCTGAATGTACTAAAACTGTGTATTTATTTTCATAAAATTACTATTTATTGAACTATATTTTGTAATATTTTGTGTGCCATTAGTTTACTTGAAATAATCGCAAAACATGTTCACATTTAGCGTTTTAATCAATTATAATAATCATAATTATTGTATCGCATTTGAGACTCAATTATGTCAAAACCCATTCATTATAATATACACTGAATTTATAAAACAAACAAAACTCAGCGTTTGTGCCGACGATCACGTCTTCGAGGTTAGTATGAAATGATCACTAATTAATTCAATTAAAAAATATTCATTTTATTTATGCCAACAGATATTTAACAATGATTTTAACACGTATTGTGTCATAACGAGTGGCGATTACATGATTAGCCATAAATCGCGGATTAGGATTAGTCCACAAAACAGCCACAGATTCGATGATAATAAAGCACTCGATGGTGGAAACGAATCCGTTGATTACAATATCTACAAACAATTGGCCGCCGATCAGAATACCATCACCTCTGGCGATGATCTGATCCAATCGTTGTCCATCGGTGTCAGCAAAGGCTGGAAATGGTTTCAGGAATCGGTCAAAGAATCGCACGACTCGGCCATCGACTCGGATTCGGTTACCATTAGTTCGCTGAGCGGCGCCGACAACAGGTGTCCATCGGTCGCACCACTCATACCACTCACACCCGGCACTCACCCATCGCTGCCCATTAACTATATGCACATTGAATTGAACGCCGATTGCCGTACAAACGCCAGTTCCCCGCACTTGCCGTACGGGACCCTTACGATCGCTGTCCGTAATGTTTGGCTGATTGCCGTCGAGTATCGGGCCGAAGAGCACCGGGCGGTAGAGTTATTGGTCGAATGTCTGAAAGATTGTTTACTAGAGAGACAATGGATGGATCAGATGAGAAGATATGGGTTTATCTACACAACGATTGATAATTTGAGAAACCTTTGGGCCAATTCACTCGATCACTATATAAGGGTCTCTCTCTCTCTTTCTTTCTCTCTCTCTCTCTTTCTCTCTGAATTGTTAATTAAATAATGATTTATATTATGTTAAGTGTTTAAAGACATGTCCAGACGTCGAGACGGCCGCTACAGTGAATCCACTGTTTAATACAATGCATAGAAATTTTGTGCCAAAAACGGACAAAACAACTGAATTGCAACGTTTGAGACAAGAATTTGAGATGAGATGTGTTTCGCAACAAAACAATCCGCAGACAATTGAATGCACAGATTCTGTCAAAGTTTTAACAGGTATTTGATTCGCAGAATATTCTGTATAAATAATTGTTTATTATTTGGTATAGATTTGGAAACTGCATTGAAGTGCATGTTTCACAATATCAATGTCAAGATCGGCGACAACACAATCCCAGACCTATCGATGCCTATAAATATATTGGGTATTAAACTGAACGACAATTTTGACACAAATCTCTGCTCCCATTATCTGCCGTATAAGACATACGCGCTTAAGATAAACACCAAACTCTCGTATGTGGCCATAAAGTACAGGTGCGAAGTGGAACCGGCGGTCTATAAACTCCTGGACCTATTGAATCGGCACCGCTTTTACATGAAGGTGAATGGCATCGATGGCTGGGATCTGATAGCACAGCATATGATTGCCAACGAGTTTAGCGACTGGTCTCGAGAAAAATGTTGGAATTGTTTTATACAGGCATTAACTATGTATAAAAAGGTAAATTTAATTTTGTAAATATTGCTATTATTTATAGACTTAAGAAAATGAATTTAATAATTACTATCTATATATCGTAACAATAATTTATATTTGTTTTAATCATTTCAGACATTGAAAAACTGCAGCAATAAAGAAGTGGCAAATCTGGTGAACCCGTTGTTTAATATATTTCACTCATTTGACATGAATTATATTATTAATGATATCAAATTTAATGAGATTTTATTATTACGCAATTTATTTGAAGATAATTGTAATAAGTTGTGAATCGATTATTTATTTTATTTAGCATCATAATAATTAACATAATAATTTTGTTACACTCAAATATGTTAAATAATATAAACTGATTATTACAAAACATTTATTCAGTACATTGCGGTCGGTTTTTAAAACATTATTAAATATAAATAAATAAGACTGTAATTAATATTGTAAAGTGCTATTTCGTTTTTATAATAAAATTATTTAATTAAAGGTAAAACGAATTAATTTATCAAGAACTTAGATTTTGTTGATTAAATTACCCAGGACCATTTGGTGAATCGGCCAGAATTTTACCAACTAATTTTATCCCATAATCACTCGCTGATTGATCACGATGTTTATGTATCATCGTTAAACCTGGTGCTAATTTTGAACATTTAAATTTATAAATTAATTAATACCAAATTTTAATGCAATACTTACCTTTCTTATTAAAATATTTTAATTTATTGGGCTTGTTTAATTTTACAGAATTTGTTAAACTAACAGAATTAATAGGCGACATAATAATATCAGCATTATAAATTGTATCACACAATAATAAAATAATATTAAGTATAATCATTCTGTTTATTAACACCATGATCGTTAAATTTTAATTAACAATTATAACATGGTTAAACAATAATTAATTGACACAACATTTATAACATTTAATGACAATATAAGTGTCTTTAAATACTATTGTAATTTGCAATAAAAGGCAATATATTTGAATAATTGTCGTTTAATTAGCAAATAACTGATTAGGAAATACATAATAAAAATTATTATAGAAATGTTTAAAAATACAAACTTAAAGGATATTAATTTTATAGGAAATGCTTTTATGGTTTTTTTGTCTAAATTTTTTCATCATTCAAACGTTAGTTTATTTCATAATTATAATACTTTTTTATTTAGACATTAATTTAATAATATCACAATTTAATTGCAATATTGGCCTTTATGTTAGAAAAAAGCATTAAAAAATACAAATATTTTACATATAAAACATAGAAAATCATTAAAATAATAATAAAAGAAAAAAATAAGTAAAAATACAAACAAAATCTCAAACACTATCACTAAAGCGTCGGGTTTTGGACCACTTTTACCACACTTTCGGACAAATCCGGTGATAATTGATGTCTTTGGTGGTCTTCTTGAGTCCAATTGGCGGTAATCTTCAGACACTTCTTTCGGTGCAAATTGAGACCCCTTTTGGACATATAAGTGATGCCACAATCGGCGCATTGAAACACCGGCTTTAAATGTATGCCTTCCACGTGTTGTTGATAAATGTCCGGCCGTTTGAACCGCCGATCGCAGCCCTCAATAAAACACACATATTGTCCTACACTCAGATCCAGGGCCTGTGTCGGGGCCTCCGGACCCACCGCCACACCAGTAACTGATTGCTGACACCCGTTATTGTCGTCCGTTTGAATGTCCATCGGATGGTCGCCGTCGACACTACTGTCCGCCCCATCGACCGATTCAAAGCCCGGACCCAATGTAGTGATGATGTCGTGAATCTCTTCCCGAGTCAATAGTTTTTTGTATAATAATAATGACATTAAGATCTCCCGTTTGCTCATAATTATAGCAATTTGTTTAAAATGTAGTTAAAATATATTACAAACTCAATTAAAAGTGTTTATTATAATAATATACTGTAGGTATTAAATGAACATGTGTTCATACAATTGAAAATGTTACAATGAATGAATTATTTGTTGAACACATTGTCTGAAAATCTATCGCTTTTTGTAAACTGTTAAACATTTATCAAAATTTTATTTTCGATTCAAAATATGAGTTTCATATCCAATGAATATAAAGTCTATGAAAATTATTTGTTTTAAAATACTGATAATAGGATTAAGATAATACAAGGGTGTGAACAAAACTATGAACACAAATGACAAAACAAATTAAAAATAATTTTAGTGATTTTACATTTGACAAACAACTATCACATTTGATAATTTATTTGCAACACCTGACAAAAAATGATTGGAAAATAACTTCAAAACATTTCTAAATGAACATGAATTAAATGGAAATTTGTTTATAATTTTCTATTCATATAAAAATGTTTAGCAAAATGAAAATACATAATATGTTATATAATAAAATAGGTTAAAAAGCATACAAAATGACATAAATGTAGGGAATATTGTGCTTTCAATCCGAGTGCTTATTCTTGACGTGACGGCTAAAGAAGCCAATAGTAGTGTACTGTTTATTACAGCCATTGATAAAACACGTGTACAACTTGGGGCCACCGCTCAGATCGGGCATCGGTTGGCCATCACCGCCGCCGCATTCGGCCACCCCTTCCGGGTCGGGTTCGCCCGGTTTGGCGGCCGTAGTGTTGGCATAACTATCGCTAGCGTTTGAGTGACGGGTAATGTTGTGAAGTTTAAGTCTCATTAACGACGTGAACG